GAAAAATTGAAAAAAAAAAGGATTAATTTTTGTCAGTGTCATGGAGAAACCATTTTTCTCACGGACATTATAACGCGGATTCTTCATTGCCGTCTGGAAATCAGGAGGATAAATGCATCATTATCCCTATAGTCTTATCTTACGCACGACAGATCAAGGGCACCCCGCACTTTCTTTTCATTGATTTACATAAGTCAGCGTGACAAACGGGTGGTTTTTTTTTATTATTGACGTTTTTATGACATTCGTGCTCTATTGGATGGGAAGCGTTTCATCGGATGGATGCTTCTTAAGAATCGGCCTTGGAAATGATCAACCTTTCGATGATGGGTATCCTTTTGATGGAGCCGTTACAAGACGGTTTAAAGAACGCGCATTAATGTTCGTCTTTCCGACAGCATCTTTGTGCAAACGCGTGATTGCCGGAAAAGCAAAACTGATTGTGCGGAAATATGATCTTTCTGTACAAGCATTCGTTTTGTAACTCGATCGCGCCAAGTATTAACTTTCTCAAGCAGTTAGTTTCTTCAAAGCAAACGTCGATTATAAAAATAATCAACAAAATTATATTTGTAATAGTAACGATATAATTTTATTTGATGCGTAATTGTTTGTGTGTTTTGAACTTTCATTTAACTTTATTAAAATACACGTATATGAAAATTGATATATGTAACTTTTTGTGTAGGCTGGCTGATTTATAGATTCTCGATGTGGATCGATTGACCACTCATATCAATATGGATAACTCTTGTGAAAAATGCATATGCAAATATGCTTAAGGATAGGCCGCGTAGAGTTGTCTATAACGAGATAAAAATAAGAAAATACATTTTTCTAACGAGCCCGTTTGCCGCGTAACCTGCTGGAAATGATCCGCTCGAACAGCACGCGTACGTGTACATACGCGTATGTATGTGTTGCGCGCAATCTCACACACACATACACACACATTATCTCTTTTTATAGGTATATGTTTTTATATAGATCGTGTTAATTATTGGATAGAGGTGAAGGTGATCACAAGGGCTGCTATCCAGATACGCCACTATTGATCAGTGGACTGCCACTTACTGTATAAATGATGTCACTATGTGATAAATAATTTGTGAAATAAAATAGGTTTGTATGCTTCTCATGTAATCGGGATTCTTTGATTTTGTCGCGAAATTAAAGAAATGGATACTATCGATAATTGCGATAAGCATGTTCGTGCATTATATTATAAATACGTGTCTATAAACATAAAACGCGTGAGATAGTTTGCTGGTTATGCAAAAGGTTGTGTTACGTAAGTTTTTTTTCTTATGCAACTGGATTTTTTTTTACGTAAGTTGCAGTGGTCTGATAGACTGCTGAAGACATAAGTCGTACAACGACTTGAAGAAGTCAGGAGAGATAAATAGGCGGAAAGATGTAACGTTTTGCGTAGCTCGACTTCATTTGTGTTAAATACAATCGTATAGATTACAATACTTTTATATGGTGAAATATCTGAAGGGAAGAAATATTGAAAAAAAAAAGAAAAAAAAATTAAATTTTAATACCAATATAACGTGCTAATTTAAACGAGATAATCACTCCTGTGAATATTGCATCACGCGATTTATATGCAACGCGTAATTGAGTTGCAACTTGTGCCTACAACACCAAACGCAACGTTACGTGCGTCATAATTCTAGTCGTGAAATATTACTGGAATTTGTCAGTCAATTTACGTATCTTATTATGAATGCGATCGCACGAATACGTTTTCAGCTGGGAACAAATGTCTGCATAACATCCGAAAAATCTTGTTCTCATGTAATTAATAAATCATAATAAGACGTGATAAACTAGTACTATATATTGTAAGATAGCACTTATGTTTAGTAAAGGATTATAATAACACAATAATTCTTTCTGCGTGAAAATATTTTTTTTAGTTGTAATTTTTTAATTGATTTGCTCATGTATGTTAAGCAAACATTTATTATTGTCTGCTACTACTGTTTTTCGCGAATCGGTTAATTTGGAATGGGAGATAATTTCTACAAGTCTCATTTGATTGTGCTGAAGAGGCTGCGAGAATTTCAATCTCAAAGCTAGCGCAGCCTTTGTTTTATGTTTATGTTTATGTCTAATATTTCTTTGGTTGCACATGGGATCATTGTGTAATTTCTGTTATTTTTTAAATAATATAATTTTTATTAATTTATTAAAATATTGAGATTATAGTTATATTTTTGTGCAGAAAGATAGATAATTTATAACAAACTTAAAGTAATATGACATAAGGTCATGTTGAAAGTTTAATATTGACTAGTACATAACAGGCGCGCGCTTTGCGCGCGCTGCGTATTAAATCTCATACATCTTCCAATAACATTTATACTAAAAATTATTTTTTTGAAAATTTTTTATATCATTTAATTTTTAAATAAAAATTTTTTTCTTGAAAATTTTTTATATCGGTTGATTCTTAAAATAAAAAATTTTTTTTAAATTTTTCATATAATTTAATTTTTAAAATAAAAATTTTTTTTTGACCCATCATCACCTACCACCACCACCACTTATTTATTACCACCCACCACCACCATCCACCACCACTACCCTCCACTATCACCACCCACTACCACCATCCACTACCACCACCCACCACTACCACCCACCACAACTACCCACCACCACCGCCCACCATCATCACCTACCACATCTACCCATCACCATTTTTTATATCATGTGATTTTCAAAGTAAAAAATTTTTTTGGAAAATTTTTCATATTATTTGATTTTTAAAATAAAAATTTTTTTTTATAATTTTTTATATCATTTGATTTAAAAAA